TGGCCGCCTTCCTCGACACCTTCCTGGCCACCAACGCCATGCTCAGCATGGCGGCGCTCAGCATCGACCGCTGGGTGGCCGTGGTCTTCCCGCTGAGCTACCGCGCCAAGATGCGGCCCCGCGACGCCGCGCTCATGGTGGCCTACACGTGGCTGCACGCGCTCGCCTTCCCCGCGGCTGCGCTCGGCCTGTCCTGGCTCGGCTTCCACCAGCTGTCCGCGTCCTGCACGCTGTGCAGCCGGCGGCCGGACCTGCGCTTCGCCGTCTTCACCGGCGCCTTCCACGCGCTCAGCTTCCTGCTGTCCCTCGTCGTGCTGTGCTGCACCTACCTCAAGGTGCTCCAGGTGGCCCGCTTCCACTGCAAGCGCATCGACGTGATCACCATGCAGACGCTCGTGCTGCTGGTGGACATCCACCCCAGGTGAGCGGGTGGGGGGGGGAGGGGGGCTGGGGCAGGGCGCCCCTGGCCGCTGAGTCTCCCTTTCCCTTCGGAAAGCTGGTGTGTGTGTGAGTGAGTGTGTGTGTGTGTGTGTGTGTGTGTGTGTGTGGAGGGGCCAGGTGCCCGGCTGGGGCAGGGCCAGGTGCCCGGCTGGGGCAGGGCCAGGCCACCACACAAACCCGTGGCTGAAGCACCGTAAGCGCTGTGGAGCAGTGCTAGAAGTCTGCCAGCCTGTTGTTTGCAGCCTCACGCTAACACATGTGGGAAGGCTTCCAGGGTGTCTTCACCCGCCCGGGAGCCAGGCGGGGTCCTAGGGTCCCGCAGTGCCTTCTGGCCTCCCTGTGTTCTGCTGCCTGAGCTGCCCCCAGTCCTCCCGGCCTGGGGTGGGGTCCTCCCGGCCTGGGGTGGGGTCCTCCCTGCCCCTTCCCCCAGCTTCTTCCTGCCAGCGGGAGCCCCTGCTCTTCCCTTGCCCGAGTCCTCTGCTCCAGACCCGGAGCCCGGAGGCCCTGCGAGGCAGAGCCACCCGGGGGCTCCCAGGAGCGCCTACCCACCCTGGCGTGGCCCCTGGGAGCGGGAGCCTCGGAACACCTGTGGTCACAGGCGTTCCCAGAGGAAGGGGGGCCCCTAGCGGAGGTGCTCACCTCGGCTGTCCTTGCAGAGCAGGAGAGCAAGGAGGGACGCGGGACTGCGTCTCTGGGTCTGCCCCCCCGCCCCAGGGGAAGCCGCCCTCCGCTACCTGATCAAGGGCCAGTGGCCGGGATCCCAGTGACCCAGAAAGTGAGCAGAGAGCAGGGATGTGGGGAGTGCGGAGACAGGGAGCCAGTGTGGCCCCTGGGGGTGAATACCCCCCACACTCAGGGACAGCACAGCCCGGGGTGTCAGTCTCAGCAATTTGAGTTTGTCCTGCCTGAGAGCAATGAAGAGACAAGTCCGTGAACCTCACTGGGTGTGCACAGACGGGCGTGCAAGCGTGCGTGCCAGCTCCCCGGGCTGCAGCTGCATGGACCCAGGCTTCCAGTCACAGAGCCTCCTCCTGGACTCGCGTACGGCACCTGCGTGTGACCTGGGGGGCGTGCACACGCAGGCGTGCACGGGGTGGGCTTCAGCCGGGTGACCCCACTGCCCACATAAACTGCATGTGCAGGGCCCGTGTGTACGCGCCCCAGGGTGGCACGGGGGTGCTGTGCGGACCCAGCTGGCTGCCTGGGCGTGCCCTGGTCTGGCCCGCTGTCATCTGAGGACGCAGCCCTGCTCCTTCCCACCCCGAGGCGAGGGGGCCTCCCCAGAAGGTGCATCCCCGGCAGTGGGGCGGGACGCAGGGAGGCTGCAGGCGAGGCTGTAGGACTCGGAGGCCGGCCTCCCTCTCTGCGTGACTGTCCGCAGGGGGAGTGGGGCGGGGAAGTGACCAGTTCTTGGTTAGACCTGGACACACCGTCCCGCTCCACTGCAGCTTCCAGTGGAGCAGGCCGGTGGCCGCCTCAGTCCCCTTAGGCTGCAGGCCACCTTTCCCCTGGCCACCTCCCAGCCCTTCCAGGCCAGGCCCACAGATGCCCCGGGAGTCCTGGGGCCAGGCAGCTGCCTTGCCGTGGAGCCCTCAGGGGAGAACTTGGCCTCTTCTAGGTCTTGGGGGCCTTGGGGAGACCGTGCCCCAGAGCCGTGGGGCCAGCGGGGCTGAAGAGCAGTGTCAGACTGCGGGGGTTGCCCCGGGGGCGAGGGAGAGGACTCCTGGCCTGAGTTGCCCGCGCCAGGTCAGACCTGCCCTCTGGCCTAGAGCTGGCCAGGTGCCACATGGGTGCTGTGCCAGCCCCGTCCCGAGCGTTCACAGCCTGCCCTTCTCAGTGGCTGCCCCGCACCGGAGGGCGCCCGCCTCCTCACAGCCGACCCACAGACTGCGTCTGGGCTGTTCTTTCTCCCGCAGTTGCTGCAGCGCCCTGTCAGGGGGCTCCCCCAAGGGCGCCCAAGCCTTAGGCACAAAGGCTCGGGGAAGATCAGCCCCGTCTCCTGGGCCTGTTTGTGCGGAGATTCAGGCTGCCGGGGGTGCCGGTCCGAGTCAGCAGGAGCCAGGCTGAGCCCAGGGGCCGTCTGCCTGTGGGCGCCCTCACAGCTGGTGGCTCCTCATCCAGAGGCCGCTGCTGGCCCAGGGCGTGTGTCAGGAGCCCCCACTGCCTTGGTCCACCCAGAGCGCCCAGTGCCCCCAGGAGCAGGGCCCGTGCTAAGGAGTCAGGAAGCCCGAGAGTCAGCCCTGCCCCTGCCTTCCTCTGGGGCTTCCTCAAGCCCCTGTGTGTGGACAGCCCAAAACTCACGCCCCTCCTGGTCCCCCGGCTGCTGGGTCCTGTTCCCCCACCCCCTCTCCAGGCCAACTCGAGGCAGAGCCGTGATCACCGGCTGTGGACGGCTGTGGGGAGCTCACAGCTGCGGACGGGGTGGCCTGGCTCCCAGTCACGCAGAGGGCCACCGCCCGCACACGGCCACGGTCAGCGGAGCGGATGTCGTGGGGCGTCCTCATCCTGCGGTCACAGCCCAGAGACGTGCCCACGCCGGCCTGGAGGGTCAGCGAGGTGGCCCAGAGGACCTGCAGGGAGGACCCCACTGGGCCCCTTTACAGATAAGGATCCTGGGCAGCTCGGGGAAGGGGGTAACCTTGCCCGATGTGGCAGATCCCCAGCGTGGCTCCAGCCATGGCTCACGCCGGTCCTGCCCGAAGATTTGTGGCAAGGACAGTGTGCAGGTGCAGGTAACGGGAGCTCCGCGGACAGCTGCCAGCTCCAAACCCAGCTTGCTCGCTGACACGCGCAGGTGAAACGTGTCCGCCCCTCCTGCCTTGATAAGCATGCACTTGGCGGGGTTCAGATTTAGGCTGCCCAGGCTGCTTGAACCAGCGGGCACATTGCGGTGAATGGGCCCCCGGCACGTGGCCCCGCCGCCACCATCCAGGCTGCCCGCACGCCAGGGCTCCCTGCACGCTGCAGCACATGCACAGAAGCGCAGCCCTGCATGCCCGGGGCGCTGTCTGCTCTCAGGATGGACCCGGGGGCCCTCACCTGGCCCTGAGCAGCTCAGGGCTCCCAGAACGGTCTAGACTGCAGGAGGGGTGCTGAGTGGCTACCTCCTAGCCCTATGCACTTTTTACTCTAGGAAGCGAAGGTGTGCCCCTCAATGTCCAGGGCCCAGATCAGGGCCCCCAGGCCTGTGTCCTGACCCTCAGGCCTTCACCACTGGCCACGGGCTCCCTTGCATTTTGTTTCGTTCCTGCGAATGTCGGAAAACAAACAGGCTCCAGGCTGACCGGTCTGCTGAGACCCGGACCGCTGTGGCGGGCGCGCGGGGGCCAGGCTGCCGGGTCACGGGCTCCTCGGCGGTTTCCAGTACTCTCCACACCCTCTGCCCCGCGAAAGCCCACCGGGCACCGTCTCTCACGCCACGTGTCAGTGGCGGGTTGCCCCCTCCTTTGTCCCCAGGAAGCCCCTCCCCGGGTCACAGCTCTGGAGACTCCACACCCCACGTGGCCAGGTTGCCTTGGGGGGACTCTGACCTCTGGCCTGTGCACTGTGGGCTCTTCCGGGGAGACCGAGGATGCAGCCTCCACTGCGGGGCCCAGAAATACCTGGAGACTGTTTCTGTCGCTCGGCCCCGCCGGCCATCGCTCAGAGATTCTCTGGGAGGCCGCGGGGCTGGGAGAGACCCCTGAGCTCATAGAGTGGGGAGACCCGGAAGTGAGGCAGGAGTTGTGGCTCTGCCCTGACCCCGTGGGGCCTGGGGCGTGGCACTGACCTCTGGGCCTCGGCCGTAACCAAGTAACACCGCAGGGGCTCGTCTGGGCAAAGCCACGGTGGGGAAGTGACAGGAGCGTGACCTGGCTGTGCTGCCCACGGCGTCGTCCCGGGCGGGTGAGCTGCTCTTCTCCTTGCTGACCGATGCCAACGGCCGCGGGAGGTGGCCCCGGACCCGCCCCTGCGCCTCTGCCTTCCTCATTCCGGCCACCGCCTGGCCAGACCCAGAGAGGCTGAGCCCAGGAGTGGGGGCGGGGAGGCGGCTCCATGACTGTCTGTGCAGGGGGCGGGGACGGAGCCCGCGGCTCACAGCGCGAGTGGCCACGCCATAGTGCCCCTCACCCCACTCTCTGCGTCGCTGAGCCTCAGTCTCCCCGGGCATAAACCAGACCCAGAGGATGGCGGGCGCACAGGGTCTAGCCAGCCTGAGCCAGGGCAGAGGCGTGACCAGGCCCCGGGTCCACGGCACCCCAGACACCCACATGCCAGGGTCCTGCAAGACCAGGAAGCAGCCCACACCTGGTGGAGGAGCCAGGAGGACCCAGACTCAAGCTCAGACTTGCCCTGCACGGTCCTTGGCGCCACCCCCTGCCCCCACTCCCCTCTTGCCAACAGGTGCACAGGACAGAAAGCGAACTCTTGCAGGGCGGGAGCCCTGTGGTTTGGGGCAACGCCGGAGCACGCAGGTGTTCGGGGAGCCCATGCTGAGAGCTGGCAGAGGCCCTGGCCGGGGGCTCCCAGGTGTTCACGCGTCTCCCTGGCACAGTCTTCTTATGCCCTCGCGTTGGAAGTGAGCAAGCGGGTGCACAGAGTGGTTGTGTGACCTGCCTGAGGTCACACAGCAATGGGGTGAAGCCTGGGTTTGAGCCCGGTGTCCGGCTCTGGCGTGGCGCTCAGCGCCAGGCCGGCGGGAGCCTTCCTGACCTCACGCCCGGTGAGACGCTCGGTCTGAGCTGCCGGGTCTGTGAGTCCGCCGAGGAAATCTAATTTAAAACAGATGTCTGCTATCGTCGTTTTTAAGACATTCGCTTCGCTTTAACAAAACGAGTGGGTTTTAATTTTTCTGAGATGTTGTACATGGTTGCTCGTTAATTTAAACCGCGTAGTAGGTGTTTTCTGGCTGGGAGACGAGCTCCTGCGAGCGCCCAGAGAAATGTCTGCAGCGTGCTTGCTCTTTAGTGCTCCTTGCTGCACAAGCTTTGCAGGAACAAATGAAATTAATTCCCCGTAGGTTTTCAGAGAGAAGGGGAGTGACCTTGAGCGTTCTAGCAGTGTCCATGTTACTGTTTGGAGACGTGAAGTGCCCGCTCATCCCGTGAAGGCCTCTGAGGTGCCCAGGCTTTGGCTTCCGTGCCGAGCCCCCGTCTTCGAGGAAAGACCACCTGGGTGGCGGGGGAGAGGGCTGTCGCTCCAGGCCCCGCGGCCTCTCTGCAGGGACCCAGGTTCCTCCTGGGGGGAGGGGGCCTGCGGAAGCGCCTCCCTCCTGAGGGCCTGGTAGCTCCGTCATCCCTGCCTCTGCAGCAGCAGCGGCTCAGTGACAGCCGTTCTGAAACCCCCTTGGGTAGGCGGGGCGCCAGCCTCAGAGAGGCTGAGTGACTTCCCTAAGGACACACAGCTGTGAGGACCGAACTGGGGTGGACACGTCCCTGGAGCCCACTTACTCACCAGGTCGTGGGCAGGGCCTCGGGGACCTGCGTCGCACCTCGCCTCCCTCCCCAGCCGCCCTGGGGGCTCTGTCCTGGCGCTGGGCGTCTCCTCACCGCATGACGAGGCCGCGACTTCGCCTTGTCTCACTTCTCCTCCATCTCCGGCTCAGCTGGTTTTGCTGGGTTTCTGGTTCTGTCAGCAAGAAAGATGAACGGGGGAGCAGGGCCAGGCAAGGAGCCGTGGTCAGTGTGTGTGTGTGTTTTTGGGTTTTGGGGTTGTGGGTGTTTGAGTGTTTCAGTCTTTTGGGCTTCTTCGTCGTGTCTTGGTTTTTGTTTTGTCACGTCGCGAGGACCCGGGGTTCCTGTGTTGGTTTGTGGTGTCGTCCTCGCTTGTGCGTGTGTGCCTGGGCGTGTTGGTGTGTTGGTGCCCGTGCGGCGCTGCGTCTCTCCCTGTCTGGGGGGCGGGGGGGCGGGGGCCCCTGGCTGCCTTGCTGGGTTTTCGGGGCTTGCGCGCGTGGGCTGTTGGGGTGTGGCGGTGACTCCTGTGGGGATGGGCCTCGCAAGGGTGGGGCCTGGCACAGGCCGTGTCCGGCTAATGAGGCGTGTCCACGCCTGACTTCACTGAACGAGCGGCTGATTTTTGGAGCCAGGGCACCTTTGGCCAGGCCTGGTTTGCCACTTCCCGAGCACCTCTGTCCTCCATCTTCCTTCCCATTCATTTTTGAAATCATGGTTTATATAGATTTATTTTTTTATGCATGCACACACTGGGGTGTAGGCCAGAGGTATGGGGGTGGTGGGGAGCAGAACAGGCAGGCCGACTGAAACATACTATTGAGGGGAGCAGCGGGGAGACGGGAGGGGTCTGCTGTGCCCTGTGGGTCACTCCCTGGCCGGGGATCGAACTCGTGCTGCAGGGTCTGTGGACAGCTTCAAAGTGTTGAAACTTAACCCCCGTGCCACCAGGGAGGCCACGTAATCACGGTTTGTTTTAAAAGTGAACAGCAGGAACACAGCCACGCTGGCCTCTGTGGAGCAGAGGAAAGCTTCTGGCCAACACCCCTCCTTGCCCAAATGACCATGGACACTCACACCTGACCCCAGGGTGGCAGGAAATGGGTGGCCAGAAGCTGCCTCAGTTGGCAGCTGGCAGTTCTGAAAAGCCCCAGAACACAGCGGGGTCAGGAACAGGGTGTGGTGAGAGAGGCAAGCACAGCCCCAAGCCTTTTCTAGACCTGCGCCCCACCCTGCCCCCACCAACAGCCCAGGGACTTGGCCGCCGCTTGGCTTCACCGAGCTGGTCCCTGAAGGAATCAAGCGACTTCTGCAGAGACCTCAGAAGGTGGCGTCCGTAGGCCAGATAGGCTGAGGTCGCAGTGGGTGAGGCAGGAGGCTGGAGCGTGGAGGAAAGCAGGCCCCATGCCGCACTGCACCCAACCCACAGAGATCAGCCACCCCAGGGGAGACTGGCCGGCTTTGAACCCCGTAGACTGGGTCCAACCCGGCTCCCTTAGCAGCCGAGCAAGTCATTCGGTGCCACTAGCTTGTGGATTTCATCGTAAAGTAGGGCAGGTGAAAAGTTACTGGCAGGTAACCCCCACCCAGCAGGTTAAATGCGCCCTGGAGGCGCTGTGTGATCAGACCTGGACAACGTGCAGACCCCGGGGCTGGAGGGTCAGTGCAGCCACTGATGGGCTCGCGCGTGCCTGCTCCAGGCCGTGCTGACTGCTCCGTGTGCTGCCGGCAGCTGTGCGTGTCCGGCGTTTCATCCTCCAGCCAGACCTCCCCTGCCCGCGCCTCTATTCCAACCGATTCTGTAGGCGGGGACCCGAGGCCCAGGGCCACACCTGCCGCCGGGACTTGCCCCGGGCACTCTGGCTGCACAGCCCAGTTCCTAGACTGGGGTCGCTGCCCGTGGTCAGGGACAGCCGCTTGCTGTGACCTGGCCGTGTCGCCCTCTCCCCCCAGCGTGCGGGAGCGCTGTCTGGAAGAGCAGAAGAGGCGGAGGCAGCGTGCCACCAAGAAGATCAGCACCTTCATAGGCACCTTCCTCGTGTGCTTCGCGCCGTACGTGATCACCAGGTGAGCGGCCCGCGGCCCAGGCGGGCGAGGCTGGAGGCAGGCCCGCATGGTTTGGGGCAGCGCCAGCTTGCCTTTTTTTTTTTTTAAGATTTATTTTAATTTCTTTATGCATGAAAGAGCGGGGGTACAGGCCAGAGGGGAAGGGGGAGGCAGGAGAGGGCTGCGCCCTGTGGGTCACTCCCTGGCCAGGGATCGAACTCAGGCCACACTGGCTGGTGACATGCTGGGACTTAACCCCTGGCCCCCAGGGAGGCCCCAGTGGCCAGGGGGGAATTGGTGTATGGTGAGAAGGGGGACTTGTGCTTTCTCTCTGTAACCTGGTGGGCTGTGGGGTTAGACTCAGAACTGGCTGCTTCCATTGCTAATCCTATCACTTAGCCCTTTACCCCAGGTCCCACCCCTCAGTGGCCCCAAAGAAAAGAAAGAGGAGAAAAGACACAAAAGCCCTCTGCAGTGGGTGTCCTGACGCTGGTGGCGGCCAGCCCCCTGGGCAGGGCACCCCCGCCTGGACACTGGTGAGCTACAAGGGCCACGGCCATCTGCACAGGGAGCAGGGGGCATGTGCTGTGTCCTCCAGGTGGGCACACCGGCCCGGGGCCCTGGGGACTCCCACTGCTAGACCAGACAGCGTGGGGGTGACCGTATCTCTGGACCCCAACACCCTCCCATCCATCGGATCACGCGCTGGCTCAGGGCTGGGTCCTCCAAAAGCCAGCCTGCACGAGCCATAGCATCCCACCCACATTTTAGCCAGAAAAAGATCCCTCTCGGTCAGTGCTGTGGACTGGAGGGACAAGGAAATACCCCAAGTCTGTCCAGAAGGCCTTAACTGTTTGGCAGTAGATAATAAAAAGGGACTTGGACGTCTTTTTAGGAACAGCTGTTGAGCCTGGAAAGTAGGATCTGTGCAGGGTGTGTGTGTGTGGGTGTGTGTGTGAGAGAGAGAGAGAGGGAGAGAGAAGGGGGGAGAACACTGCCCATCACTCCACACCCCAGCATCCTTAGCGGGCAGGGACTCCCCCCCCACTGCGCCTGGAGGGGTCTGCAGGCTCCCCGGGGAGGAGCCCCAGAGCCAGTCTCCCTGGCCATCTCTACACTGAGCTGAAGCTTAGCTTCCCCACAACTCCCTCTTGTCTTCTCTAGAGGTTCCGACAGGACCACCTTTCTGTCTTTTCTGTGGCACCCCACTTCCTCCGGAGACATCCAGTGGGTCTGCTTTAAACGTAGGACTGGGGCTGTCTGCTGGCCTCTGAGGGGCAGACCAGAGCAGAGCACAACCGTCAAGTCTGCCTTCTAGAACTTTCCACTAGACCGCCTTCTCCCTGTGAGTTGCAGCAGATCCAGTACCCACAGTAGCACCTCCCGACCCCTAGTTCGGACATCTGAACGTCTCCAGACGTTGCTAAATGCCCCCTAGGAACTGCGTCATCTCCTGGCCTGGTCAGCCCCTGCACCATATCCAGACACACAGGCAGCCCGTGTGCACCCAGGTCAGCATTTCCACGGGACACGAAACCCAGGTACCTGGAGAGAGGAGGGACCCCCCCGCTGCTGTCTGAGGGTGCACAGCAGAGCAGCTACCAGCAGGGGCGGTGGTGTGTCCCCTCTTGGGGTCAAACAAGCTCTGCTCCTCCTGCTGTGTGACCTGGGGCCTGTGGCTTCACCCTGGTGGGCCCCCCGCTGGTCCACGGCCGCTGGAAGTGAGCAGCGCCTGCCTGCCGGGGCTGTGTGAGCCGAAGGGTCTTAGTCTCCAGCACACAGGGCGCAGGGGACGGCTGTGGTCAGTCACTCTGGGGCGGAGGGCACGGCCACGCCTCCCCCTCAGAGCCACAGAAATGGGGCCTTGGCAAGTGAGCACTGGAATCCTCAGAGAATAGGTAACGAGGCTCCAACTTTAAGCTATTGGAGTTTCCTCTGGCTTCATCTCATTTCCCAGCAAAATTTTCCCTTTTTCCTGAGGCTTGCTTGGTCCCCACTCATGGTACCTGGAAAATAAGGTTTCCGTAAAATTGGTGGTAGATTCATGACTCAATTATGTTCCCTCCAAATGGAGTTGATGCATTTTGAGTTTTTAAAAACCTTCAGCATTTATGGGGACAAATGGCAACTTAGCGAGCAGAAAGCGCTGCACCCAGGAAAGGCCTTAGGTTCAGAGTACAGCTCCAGGGGGCCGACACCGGCCAGCTCCTGCCCGGCTTTCTCAGGGGCAGAAGGCGCCGTCCTGAGTGAGCCTCGTGGAATGTGTGCACACCCCCGCTTCAGTGCCGGTCTGTCCAGCGCCTTCTCCACGCACAGCACAGAGGCAACACAGCAGGACGTGCTGGCGAGCTGTGCAGGACCTCCCGGGGCCTGGCAGTCCCTGCCCTCTGATCCGGAGGGGGCAGCAGGCCACGGGAGCCCGCACAGACAGGCTGTGGGGTACCAAGAGGAGCGAGCTCCCCCTGGAGCGTTGTGGTTCAGCCTGTGAAGAGGTGTGGCTGAGCAGGGGACAGTCTGAGCAGGTGGACCCCAGGAAGCCCAGAGCCCCGTGCGGACCCCCAGCCCCAGTAGCTTTGGGGTGCTTAAACCTCACCTGTCCGCATGGAGCTGTGCTACAGGGTCGACATGTCCAGTGGATGGGCAAGGCTTAGCAGGACCAAACATGTACCGTTATTAAAGGTTGCTAATTATAATGAATAATTTTGCCAGCTCTGTCGTGAAACAGTGCTATCTTGGTTATAGCAGATGAAATAAAAGATAGAATAAAATATAAAAGTAAGTGTAGAGTTAAAGGGACGTGGCCTCCCTCCAGGACACTTTAACTTGCTCAGTTGGCCTCTGGCCCTACAGCGCCCCCGAGAGGTCTGCCAGGCAACTGCGTGAGCTGCCCTTGCAGCTGGGGAAACTGAGGCTCAGCTGTAGGGCTGACGCAGTGTCAGCCCGCTGCTCAGGCACAGGGCGGGCAGCTGAGCGCCTTCACGGCCTCTGGGTGGCGGGGGGCTCTGCCGAGGCAGCTCTCTGCCTCCCGCCTCCTTCCTGCCCCTGTAGAAGAGGAAGGCCAAGCCCCTGGGGCCGGGCTGATCTTGTGGAGTCCGTTTTGTTCAGGAGCCCCTTTTTTTCCCCCAAACCTCTAAGCCCCGCTCTGTGCCTGACACCTGCCCCTGGGCAATAGCCTCGCCTTCAGGATGAGGAAACTGAGGCAGGGCCAGGGTCCCGCCCCCCACCCCCAGCCCGGTCCGCCTGGCTCGCAGCCCCAGGGTGCCCAGGGCACACTGTGCGCCGCCCCCACAACAGCTGAGAGCAGGAAGCCTCCTGCTCCCGGAGGATGTGGGGCCTCACTCAGTGCCGCAGCCCACCCAGCGCGGAGGTGACAGCTTCCAGGATGATTGAGCCCGAGTTGCCTGAGTGTCACTTAAACCTCTCATTGAGCTGTCAGAGCAGACGCCAACATCCCACCCCCATCCTGCATCTAGCAGGCAGCCCGCCCGCAGCTCCCCCCATCTGAGCCTCGGCAGCGGAGGCGTCAGGAGTGTGGGGGAGCCTCAGGGCCCCTGGGAACGCGGGGAGCCGCAGCTTCAGCAAAGTGGGAAAGAGCCAGGCTCCGCAGGCGCGGCTGACAGCTCCTGCTGGCTGCCGGGGTCCCCGCTGCCCCCACCCCCCGGCCCAGGCAACCTTCTCAGAGAGCGAAGCCTCATTCCGGGGACAGGAGCCGCTCAAACCTCCCCGAAGGGGCTTCTCTTGTGGGAGAGCACAGGAGCTTTCCACCTACCCTGGCCCTCTTGGGCCCCTGGGGAGGCTGGTGGAGACCCACTCGGCTCCCTGCCAGGTAGGTGCTGGGCTCCTTAGTCCCCAGAGGTGCAGTCAGGCCGGAGGCTGGCGTCAGGCTTGTTCTGAGGATTCGACCTCGGGCCCCGCCACCCCTCCACAGCAGGGCGGGCAGCCTGGCATTGCGAAGTCTCGGCCGGCCGTGTGTGGTCAGCTGCTCGTGAGCAAGCCCCTTAGCTTCAGCCCAGGCTGGCGTCCAGATGCCCGCAGCAGGGAGGGGTCCTGCTCTCCAGGTGTGGCAGGCGGCGTGGGGGTCAGCCGTGAGAGCAGGGGGGCCCGGGGTGGCCCAGCTCTGGCTCTGAACGCGTCCCTCCGGGAGAGACAGCCCCGCCAAAGGCATCATCAAGCAGGGCTTCACCTGCGCGCCGGGGCGTCCCTGGCGGCGGCGGGAGGTGCGTTTGAAGCCCCCCCTCCACATTTCCTAGAAGTTGCTGCCTTCTGTTCACACACCCCAAGCCCTGGGGCACATCTGGCGTGTTCCAGCGTGAGTCAGAGCGGGGTCTGATAAGATCAGCCACAGATTCGCCTCCAAAAGCGCTCATTAAGCATTTCCTGAATTAAAATTCACACGTCTGCAAGCCTGTGTGAGGCTCTCCTCTCCACCGCGGCTTACAAGTAGCTGCGCTTGTCCTGGCGCACCGAGCGAGGCTTTGCGGCATCTGGGGACCTGGCAGCGGCATCTGGTGACTTTGAAGTCATGGAGCATGGAGGCGGCAGGCCGTGTTACTGTTCCAGGAATACAGAGCCTGTCCAGTCTGCCGTTCACGGAAACCTAAAGAGTCAGCTCACGTAGTATTCGAGGTTTTCAAGTGCAGAGACTGCGTGTTCCAGAAGTCTTGGGACGCGCCAGGCAGGCTTCCCGAGGAATGTTCTGTGGCCGAGGCATATTCGATGTGCTGTGTGTGTGAGACAGACGGGAGACGGGGAGGGGGAGAGAGGGAGGAGCGAGCTGTAGCTGGCACAGAAGTTGGTAAGAGAAGGCCCCGCGTGGACTTCAGAGCCTGGCGGGTCCCGGCTTGACCTGGGTGCCGAGTCCCGCCCCGGGAAGGCCCCAGCCCAGGCTTCAAATCCTGCTTCTCCTGCCTCTAGGCCGCGCGGCCTGGGGACGCCGCTTCAGCGGCGCCTGCACAACAGAGCAGAGTGGGCCTCCGGGCTGTGTGTGAGGCGGTGGTCAGGCCCGAGCCCCCGCGGCCCCAGGAGACACGGGTGTAATGTCTGCTGTGCCCGGCTGTGTCCACACCAGACTTTCCTAGGGTGAGACTGTTCCCTGCAGGGGTTCAGAGAGTGCCTCGGAGTTCCGGGCACGGACTGCTTCCTCCCCGCAGGGCCCAGGAGTGCGTGCTGCTGGAGTTGGGCAGGGCCGAGGGCGCGGAGGGCGGGCACTGCAAGGGGCAGGCTGCAGGCCTCCTCCAGCCTCTGCTGTGCTGCGCGGGGCCGGCCGGGGCCCAGCTCAGCGGGCTCCCTGCTGCCGGCAAGGAAGGGCCCCCCGGGGGCTCCCCACACAAGCAGGGGTGCAGAGGTGGGACCAGGCCAGCGGAGATGGGGTAGCCGGCTTCCTGCCTCGGCCGCCGCGGTCTGCACGCCCGGCTGCTGCGGCTTCTGCTCCGAGCTTCCCTCCCGCATCAGCAGCGGCAGCTGCGCTCCGGCTCTCGCTCCGCAAAGGCCCTGTTCCCGTCGTCCCGCTCCGAGGCAGGGAGCAGGGGCTTCAGCCTATGACCCTGGGGTGCAGTGCAGCCACAATAGGGCCCTGGCAAAAGGAACTAGAGTCCCGCTCGCCCACACAAGCCCTCAGGGCCGGCTCCGGGTCAGCGCTGGTCGGGCGCAGGACAGGAGAGCCGGGTAAGGCTGCCCGGGCTGGTCACCCGGTACCCCACGCAGGCTGGCGGGCCCGGGGGAGCAGAGCTAGACCTGGCAGGGCAAGGGGAATGGGCCCTCTCAGGGCACCCTGGACCGGGGCTCGGCCATCCAAGCACTGCCCGGGTCTGGAAGCACAAGGCAGCAGCTGTGCACTCTGGGAATCCTGGCCCCTCTGCGTGCCCGCCAGCGTGTGGGAACTGGCACTGCCCGGGCTCGGACGCAGGAGGGCGGAGGGCCTGTGTGCCCGGGAAACGCGGGCAGGGCTCAGCCAGCTGCACCTGAGCATGCAGGGGGCGTCCAGCCTCTGCCCGGCCCGGCGGCCTTCTACGCAGTGTCCAGGCAGGTGCCCCAAGGCGGCTGTCCCGAGGCCCTTCGCAGAGCGGCAGCCCGAGTGCCCATGGGCAAGGGCAAGTGACAGAGGCCTGGGGGCCCGGGCAGGGCCCCCGCTGGCCCGGGCCCCACTGGGTGGCGCCGCGGGGCCTGTGGAGCAGCCCCCCAGAGCCCCAATGTAAAGAGGGAGTAGCAAGCTGCACGGCAGGGCAGGGGCAGAGGCGGCCTGCGGCTCCCACGGCGAGTTCAGACTCCCCACGGCATCCCCAGGACGCGAGTGCGACAGACGTAGCCTCTTAATTATCCAAGTGGAGAAATTTTATTTCGTGAAGCTACAGAAGCTGCCACGCAGTCATGTTGACCTCGCTTAATGGTTTGGCGCGATCTGGCTCCGTCGAGGAGTCCGCGGGGAAGTCCTCGTGCTGAGGCCGACTGAGAGGCGATACGCAGAGACCGGACTTTCCGGAAAGCGTGTCGGCTTCACGCACAGCAGTGCCCGGCATCCAGCCCTTCACTGCTCTATTAGTGTGACGCTGAAGCCGGGGGGCGGGATTGTCCTCTTGAACTCATCGCACACTTCCCCGGAGCTGCCCCTCTGCGTGTTCACAGGCCCGAGGGTAGGCACGGGCAGGGGGTGGACCCAGGTGCTGGCAGTGGGCATGTCCGGGGCCCCAGCAGGATTCATGATGGGAAGAGGGGCCTGCGGTGGGGGCCCCCCCAGCCCCTCCTTTTCTCCCTGTGCTTGTGCTCACCCACCTCAGCCCCAGGAGGCCTTGGGGACACACGCGTGCCGGGAGGTGCCTCCCGGTGTCGGGGGGAGGCCGGTCCTTGCTGCACCGGGGCCCTCTCCTGCCCCCTCAGGGCCACGCTGCCTCCCCTGCAGGGAGAACACAGGTGCCAGTGCCCAGCCAGGGCGCGGGGGAGCGGACTGTCTCCCTGCCGACTTGCTGTGTGATGCCGCGAGCTCTGCCCTCTCTGGGCCCGGTTTCCTTATTGGACAGCAGACGAGAGTGACTGAAGATCCCTAAGCTCGTTCCCGGCTCTGAGTGTCCTTCAGACTCTCAGTGCTGCCAGATGTGGCCAGGTGCTGGGCGCCCTGGACCGAGCGGAGTACGCGGCCCCGGGCGGATGCGGCCACACAGCGTGGGCTGCGGCTGCCTCGGCTTGGCCTTGGCGCCCTGAGCGGAGCTGAGCCCCCCCGAGAGTCGTGCGCCTCTGACCCGAGGGCAGCATCTCCCCTCAAGCCGCCCAGACAGGGAAGGTCACTTTGAGGGTGCCTGCCTCCGGCTACTGCCCAGGTCCCGGGCCCGCTCCGGGAGAAAGCCCTCCTCGGCTGCAGACTTCCAGGTGGAAGTCATGCAGTGAGTCTGCAGAACGCAGACTCGCAGGGCTCGGCCAGCCCTCGGTGCAGGCCACCTCCTGAGAGCGCGGAGCCAGGGCTTCAGCACAGGCCAGACACGCTCACACCCGCTCAACACCTCGTTTCTCCTGTAAGCGGTGCGGGCCCCTGGCCAGGTGACGCCTTGGCCTGGGCCGTGCACAGGTCAGCGGCAGAGGGGACCCTGGGGCCGGGATACCACCAGCCGCGAGCCCCCTTCTCAGACACAGTGAGCTCCAGAGCCAGGCAGACCTGGGTTCAAATCCGGCCTTAGGATGTTGGCCCAGGGACTGTGGGTGGATTCTTCAACGCCTGCGCTCGTCTCTTTCCTGACAGGTAAGATGGAGATAGGGACCTGTCGTCCGGGGGAGCGCCGGAAACCCCACAGGCCCAGGCCGTAGCACAGCACCCAGGACGCAGGTCGCTGGTGAATGTGCGCTGCGGCATTGCTGCGGCTGTGGGTGGTGGCGGTTGTCGTGGTTCCAGAGGCCTCTGGGGAAATAGGCGTGGCCGGCAGGGGCGGGGTGGGGGCGGCCGAGCTCCGGTCACCACCGCCCCTCTCCCCGCAGGCTGGTGGAGCTGTCCTCCGTGCCCATCGGCGCCCACTGGGGGGTGCTGTCCAAGTGCTTGGCCTACAGCAAGGCGGCCTCCGACCCCTTCGTGTACTCCCTGCTGCGACACCAGTACCGCCAGAGCTGCAAAGAGATTCTGAACCGGATCCTGCACCGGCGCTCCCTCCGCTCCTCGGGCCTCGCGGGGGACCCCCACAGCCAGAACATCCTGCCGGTGTCTGAGTGAAGCCCCGCTCCTGCAGGAGGGTTTGGAGAGCGGCAGCTGGTGAGAAGAGGGGAGGGCGGGGGGCTCCCGGGCGGGCCACCCCCCTGACACGCCCAGCGGTGGGGTCCCCAGCTGGTGACCGGTGAAGCCTGCCTCCTGGCCCCTGCGGGCAGATGCTGGGCTGTCCCGTGACCCACGGGGTGGGGGCGCACTCTCTGGCTTCTTCTCCTGAGACGCTCCAAGAGCTCTTCCCCGCCCCAGAGGCTCGGGGGACCACACTCAGCACTGTCTCGGTCAGGGATGCAGTGCTGGTGGCAAGTTGGGGAGCACGGGGGCCCCCAGGCTGCTCCCCACTGGACTTTGGCTCCATGCCGAAGACAGCGCCGTCTCTTCTCCCGTGGACGACACCCAGCCGCCGGGGAGGCTGCGGGGGCGTGTGGCCCGCTCACAGGTAGCTGGTGAACTGCTCCACGCGGCTCGTCTGCTCCACGCGGCTCGTCTGCTCCACGCGGCTCGTCTGCTCCACGCGGCTCGTCTGCTCCACGTGGTCGCGGGGCTGCAGGAGCCCGGACGTTGGGCTGCACCAGGGGACACGTGGCTGGGCCCCGGGCCGGCGCCTCGGCACAGTGCCCGACAACGCCACAGTCGCCGACTCTCGTCTTAGACGTGGGTCTGCTGGATTCTGCTCCGGCCCTGTAGCGCCCTCCCAAAGCGACGCGTGTGCGGACAGGTTGGCGCGGAAGCCGTGCGGACAGGCCAGGACACGTGCGAGGGGACGAGCACTCGTGGGAGTCTGACCTTGAAGGCCCCTCTGGTTTGCACAGCATCGGGCCGGAGCCCAGGAGAGGAGGAGGCTCCTGCCCCCCACCTGTGACCCGAACTGGCAGGGGGTGTTCTGCCTTCACACGCACATCTCTTCCGGCACCTCCTCGGGCGAGAACCGCGCTGTGCAAGGGGTGGCCTTGATTTCAGGGTGCGGGGGTGCTCCCTAGCCTCGCGTGGAGGCTGTCCGAGAGATGAGAAAGCGCCCTGTGCAGAGGGAGAGTGACATTTTACCGGACGCTGGACAGTCCTCTCTACGCCTGCCCCCCCACCGTCCTTGCCGTGATTTAATAAAAGCCGAGGTGCGTGGCCCAGCTTCCTCCCCTCCCCGTCTCTGTTTGCCCTTTCAAAGTGCATCACTCTAAGAACAGGTTCTTCTAACCCTCTAAGGGGAGAGCGACACGTCCCCTCCCAGCTCCACGCTTCCGAATTTTGGGGGTGCGGAGGGGTGGACACAGCCCACGGGACACCTGGCAGAGCCTGCAGGCCCCGCTGCCAAGCCGCCGGGGTGGGAAGGAGGACATGAGCGTCGCGTGTGAAAGCCGCTCTTGCTAGAAGACCAGTGGCCGGCCAGGCCGGCCGGCGCAGCTTCGGGGTTTCCCTGGAAACCAGACAGAGCCAGAGGTAGCTGCTCAGGGCTCCCACCTCCCCGGGGCAGGTGGGGCTCACACCTGCGTGGAGAAGCCAGCGTCCAGGGACAGCACGCTGGTGGCTTGACGTCAGCCGTGGCGGGAATGTCAGCAGCGAGGAAGCCAGCAAGGGCGGCTGCAGGCCTCCGCCCTGGAGCGGGCGCCGCCCGCCGGCCTCGTGGGCTGACGCCGTCTTGCTCTCGCCGCTCAGGCCTGAGCAGCAGACCCTCTTTGGCGGTGCTTTCCTGGCGACAAGCAGCTGTTACCCCCTTTTTCTTCCAACCCCCAAAGTAGTAGAGGCTGGAAGTTAGCCCGGCGCCGAGAAGACCTAGGCATGAAATCTGGGCCTGGCGCCGCGCTCAAACCGGGCGAGAGGGGAGCGGAGACCCAAGGGGGTGGACATGCAGGTAGCAGGCACGGTGGCAGCAGCGCCAGGCGGGTGAAGCACCCGCAGGCCCCGTTCCTGCCCTGCTCATTGGCAGCACGAGGCACTCCCAGAAACAACCCTTTGCCTCCTCTTTGGCGAAGCCCGGTGGTCTGCCCCCCGCCACGCTGTGTATCTTGAAAAGATGCATTTCATAATTTCACTCAGTCTGTATTACTGCAAAAATGCCAATAAACCAGTTGTGTGACGCGGCGTAGACTCAACCCTCCTGTGGCCGGTCTCCCTAGGGCTCTGGGCGACGACCCTGGGGCGGGGAGCATCACAGCGCCCTCCAATGCCTCGTAGCCCCTGAGATGCACGTCCGTGTCTGTGGCTACCGTCTCCAAAGCTCCCCCCGCCCCGCCCCGCCCCCGGCGTTTACCTGCCTCATCCGGTAATCTCAGGTGCAATGCCCGGCATTCTCAGGTAGCGCTGGGAAGCCACAGCTCACACGTGGGCAGGGCCTGGCCTCAGTGCTTGGCTTCAGCTGGCACAAGGCTGGAGGTTGGCAGCCCAGTCAGGTGCCCCCTGGGCTGGACAGCGCCTTTAGGAAGCCGAGCAGAAAGCCTGGGGAGGGGAGGCCCCGCTCCCTCACACCGCACACCTTGGTGACGGGCGTTTCTAGGCTCAGCCAGCGGTGCTCCTCGCCTTTCGCTTCTGCTGCTTCTCGGAGGGGCCCTTAGCCCGAGCCCACTAAGGGGCTGTCCTCTCGAGCGAGTGGCCGGCTTTAGGGTTTCTGTGTCTCCCGGCCGCCCAGCCCCCGAGGATTTCACTCCCTGCTGCCAGTTGGCCCTGAGAAGGGTTGGCAGGGTTGGGGTGGGGTGGGGGGCTGATGAGTCACCCCACACCAGCTGCTCCCCTAAAGGTTCAGTCTCTGTGACCGTGAGCAATAAACCCCTTTCCTCCTGCTTGTGAAATTACTTTTCTTTCTCACGGTGCCTTTCTTTCTGGGAGAAGCTGGAAGACAGGCCACGTCTGTGTCTGCGCCCTCCTCTCTCTGCTGGCTCAGGGAGGCTTCGTCCGGCCTGGCTGGACGCTCGCAGGCTCGGCTGTGCATTTTGAGAGCTGAACCCAGCGCAGGACGAGCGGGGTCGCTGGTGATTTTCTTAGGAGGGTATCTGACCATCAATGTCTCAGCTCTGCCTGCCCTTTGGGTCCTGAGCCCGGGAGGAAGAGAGGGGCCCTGGATATATTTGGGGCTCCAGCTGCCTTTCTAGAAGGACGGAAGCCTCTGGGATGGAGCCACTGGCTCTTGACCTTTATGCCACAGGATCACAGGGAGGGCTTTAAGCTGCAACCTCGGCCCTTCTCGAGGTGCCGGGTCCGCAGGACTGCAGGCCTGAGCTTGCCAACATTCGTGTGTGGGCCGTTGCGGGTGGCCCGGGGGGGCTCCTCGAGGAAACAGGGAAGTTGACCCTGGACGGGAACCTTTGAGAGAGCAGGGTCCTCACTGGGCCTGCCTAATCGTCCACGCAGTTCAGTCTCCAGCTTAGCCAGGGGCAGAGCTGAGGCCTGCGGAGACTCTACAGGCTTCTGTTTTCAGAAGTATCTGGTGGACAAACAGGTGCTGGCCAGGCACCCCGCAAAGGCACCTGCCCGCCTCTCGCTCCCTCAGCAGCATGAGGCGCGCTGGGGGGCGGGCAGAGGTGCTTCTCAGAGCCAGGACTTAATGCGAGAGCCGCAGGCCTGGTGCTCGGAGGGCCTCGGCCCCACCTGGGCAGCCTGGTCCTGGAGGGTGTTGGGGCCCCGCTCTGCCACTAGCCACCCCGCCGCAGACACGGGGGAGGCCAGGCTGAGGCGGCGTGAGGGAAGCTGGCCTGCTTGCCAAACCTGGCCGCACCCCCGATGGGCCCCAGAGCAGCCCGTGACCACGACGAGGTCCCTCAGCTAGTGTGCACGGGAGGGCTCGGCCTGGCGCCCCGGGGTGTGGGGTGGTGTTCCCATAAAGCCTCCTGGTGGCCCAGTGACGACGGCACAACTGTCATCTCCAGCCGGGGGAGCCAGGACGCTTAGCAGGTCCAGAAGAGCCGGCGGAGGAGCTCAAGGGGCGTCAGGAAACCTGCGGGGCTCTCAAGTGGGGCAGTCACCAGCTTCACCCCGCCAGGCCGTTCGGGCACAGAGGGTGGCTCTCATCCTCCGTGGCGCCCAGGCCTTCTGCCCACTCACACCACACCCCGGTGGGCCTTGGGGCCCCTCCGCTGGGGCAGGACTCCTCTGGACTTCCCCTTCCCTGAGGGTTTTAGGGCAACTCTGGGGCGAAGCTGAGCAGCAGCCCCTGCACCCAGACTCTGTACCCAGCTGTCCCAGCGCTCTGTTGGTGTCTGTTTGGGTGTCTGAGGCCCCATGACAGCAGTCTCCACACCACACGCTCACGAGCACCGGTACAGCCTGGTCCCCGCGGGCCTGCCGGCGCCAGGGCTTCCTGGGAGGACTCAGACGGGCCAGAGCAGGGCTGAGCTGGCTGAGAGCAGAGTGGGGTGCAGGTGGCCACCGGAGCCCGCTCGTGGGGGTTCGGAGGAGAGGCCTGGCTGAGAGCAGTGTGGTCTGTAAACCCCCCTCTTCAGCCCACTCCCATTTCCTCGAAGCCAAGTGTCCTGCTGGTCCCGGGAGCCCCCACCCAGGCGGGGCGAGGCCTCTGCTCTGCTGGGGCCCAAGGCCTGGCCTGGAGAGACTGTGGGTACTGGGGCGCCAGCCTGCTCCGCTCACCTCTTCAGACGCGCCGAGGGCCAGAGGCCTGTCCGTGTCTCCTTGCCCAGATGCCGAGGGAAGGCGCAGGGGCCGGGCATTCTGGGCTGAGCTGTCTAGGGGTAACAAGTCCCAAGTCAGGGAGTTGTCCATCTTCCCAGGGGAGCAGCACCGGGAGAGGGAAGCAGTGGGGTGCACACTTTGCCCCCCCATCTGGAAACCTCTGCACAGAAACAGGGGCCCCCGGAGAACCTGGGCAGCGGGGGTGCCAGCCCGACGGCGTGGACACCCCAGTCTCTCCGGGACGGGCGCCATGTACCTCCTTGCCGCTGGCCCTGCCCGGGGGCGCCAGTGAGGGTTCTGGGAACAACTCGGGCGCGCGGAGGGCGGGCGTCACCAGGATTCGAGCCCACAGCGCTGTGGGGCACAGGTGGAGGGCTGAGTGCGTGGCAGGCCGGAAGGAAGCTTCCAGAAGGCTTTATGGAGATGGTGACTTTGGGTGAGAACTTGGGGGAGGCAGTGCTGGGCGGGGGACGCCCGAGGGGTGGGTGGGTTGGAGCTGGGCACGTGTCCAGAGGTGCCGTGAGGGGAGCCCCAAGAGGAGGTAAGTGTGTCTGAGACTGGGTGCGTTTTCTCTCAGAGCAGGGAGTATCGGAATGAGGCTTTTAGAAAGAGAAAATGTGAGGAGAAAATCCACCTAAATTGAACTGCCAGAAAAAGAGAGGGACAGGACAGAAAAAGAGGGAGGCGGCGGCCGGCCGGCCGGAGGGGCGATGTATTGGGAGAGCTGAGGCAGGAGCTGGGGGTGGGGTGGGGGGTGGGGGGCACGTAGCACTCTGCTAAGGGAACAGAGTGGACCAGTGCGCACCCCTGGGGCACCCGAGTGGGAGCCAGGGGCTGTCCAGTAAGGAGTAGACAAGTTCGGGGCCACGCTGGGTCCACAGCACCCCCACGCCCCTGGGCACAGACGGGGGAGGCCACTCTTCCCCCCCCCACCGAGGAGCAATCCCGGGCCCCCCACAGCCAGCTCGGCCCTGGCGGTCAGCTGCAGTGTCTGTGGGTCCGGACCTGGCACCAACGGGCAGACGCTGGGGCTGGTCCGTCTTAGCGACGCGACTGCTGGCGAGGCCCACGATTAAGGCCTCTCAGACAATGGAGAGGGCTGACCGGAACGCTGGTCCTTCAGGAGCAGGGCATACCCCAGCTCACGGGCCACCTCCCGTCCTTTCTCTTGCAGGCCCAGCGACTAGCCTGTCACGTGTTCCCAGGAAAGTCGCTGCGCCTGTGACAGAACCAAGTCCTTGCTCCCTGGTTCCAAAGAGCCTCAAATCTACATTCGGAGAGAGGAAGCCCACTTTGAACTGTGAGGGTCTGATGCTCAGCCCCAGGTGAGGCCCAGGCCTCACCCAAACCCCAAACTATCTTTAGGGGAAACATCGGGGGCAGCACTGACGCCGTCAGAGTGACACACGGGGGATGGGTTGACCTGGCCACTGATGCCACCGTCCCTCTGGCTCCAGACCGGCACCATCCCCAGAGTTTCCACCAAGAGGTTCTGCCAGCCGTCCCCTGGCATTGGGGTCATCTAACACCAAATCTGCACTGGCATCATCGCTGCTAACCACGCCCCTGCTCTCCAACCCCCAAACACCAAGTCCCCTTGCAAACTTAAATCCTTCCAAACCTAACCCACCTGTGCACAACAAGCATGCAGTGACAGCCTCTTCTGGAACACCGAAGGGCCATTTCAGGAGATTGCTGTCTGGCCCCCATCAGCTTTCCCCCGGAGAACTTGTCTAGCCTTGGGCACAGTGGCAAAACAGAAAGGTGCCCGTCCTGCCCTCGTGGCCACACGGCGCTCTCCGAAACACTGCAGTGGGCCAGTCCTGTTTTCTTAGGCTCGTTTGGAAGCGGGACTTTCCACGTGGACACCCATTATCCATTTCGGGACAGCAGCTCCCAGGCGGACACCAATCTGTCCCTCTGCCGTGGTGTCGCTGGGGCGGGAGAGTCCCACCACCTGCGTCCAGCGTGCCGTCTCCCACAGAGTCTGTCCCCAGCCCAGCACCCACGAGCGGGGCAGTCACCTCCCCTCAGATTAGAGGAGTCTGGCTATCCTCTCCCTCAGCGCACCTGGAAACGTCAAAGGATGAGGTCCCAAAGTCCAGTGTTGTGCCTTCCTCCAGTTTTCATAGATACCCTTATTTTGGGGCATCTGTGCAAGGTGGGAAGGGACTCTTGCCAGCACCCAGAGCCTGGGGTGTTCAGAGATCGGGCTGGTAGATGGCAGAACAGAGCCCACGTGAAGGGAAGCGAGGGTAGGTGCCAGCTTTTTAGCATTCCACATGGAAATATGGCTTATATTTGGACGCCTCAAAAATACTTTTGGAAACTGGGATTTAAAAAACACAAGATAGTTCATTCCTGGGGACAAAGTGTTCTGTGAACGACTGACGCGTCCTACAACCTCCTGTCCCTGACCTCAGACCCACAGGAAATGAGTGGTTCGTCTGCGGATTTCCGTGGGGCAGATGTGCCCATCACATGTGCCCGTGATGCTGCGCGCCCACGAACATGAGTGCCCA